GAATGAGCTCTGCTCCATCAATGGACTTTGGAACTGAGTTGGCTAATTTGGCCTGAGACACAAAATTAAAAAAGAGGTGCAGTATTGGCTGCATTTAATCAGCTTCATAGTTGGTTTCCATTACTGAGAACATGCTGCTTTTGGCAGCAGCTAAATGTATTTAATGAGGTTTCTTTGTATGCAAATGTAAGACAAGGAGCTTTTTTCCCCATGCTGATTGAGGGGAAAAAAACCTCATTTTATATTTGAGTAAATACTGTATTTCTTTTAAAGATTTATTTCCAGGAAATATTCTAAATTTGTCTTTCATTTCAGCTACTAACAGGCTGTTTTCTTACCTTGTGGCTGTCAAGCAGTGGCTGCTGCTGTACAGTAGCTGTGCTTCTCACTACAATTCCAGTTTCAGATACAACATATAAGCACCAATTCAAAAGTTGCAGAAGTCCTTGCCTAGAAGAAAAACTGTTTAGAGAAACTGCGAGTCTATATGACAAAAAGAACTGAAAATATATTCCCAGGCTTCTCACCCATCTCCTTTACCCTATCTAATTTTTTCTTAAACTACTTCACTCAATTCTGTTGTGATACATAGTTAACTGTGTTTAACTTTCTTACAATTTACTGCACGTCTCTGTATTTAGAAAATAGAGATACTGAATGTTATTTGAAGGCAATATTATATTTTCTATGATTTATATTACATTTTATTAAATATTTTAGTTTTAATGCATTTATGACAGTACTGGGTACCTGAGATAATTTTAGTTTTGCAGCAAAGACATCATTTAGTGCTATTTACTTGCCAAGAGATTTAGATAACCTCTTCTTCTCCTTCCCTAACAGTTTAGTCACTGCAATCTATATTATCTGGTTCACATTGTGAAAATGCTGTCACTAATAAACCCTACTCAAACCATTAATGGGTTTGAAAATACAATTCTAACACGTCCCATTTATGCTGAATGGGTGATCTATTTTTGATAGATTGGTCACAAATACTCATTTGTACTCAATACTTCACCTTCTGTTGAAAAATAATTAAATAAATTCCACCAGTGACCAATGAATACAACATAAAGTTAGATTTGTGTACACTGCCTTTCACTTCCCAGCTGTCTCTAAGGCTACAAACAGATGTCATTTTTGTCTCAGAATTAGCCGTGCCAGGATGCATCCTAGCACAGCGGATCTGATTGATTGGCAGGTACAGATGCCACCTGGGACTCTGCCACTCCCAGGGCTTCAGAAGCCCAATCCTGCAGGGCAACAGTCCTGGATACCTGGCTTGGGTAACCTCCCAGGGTCCTTTGCTCTGCAGTGTGAAACACATGCCCCAGAATCACTTACCTGAGGAAGCTGGAGAGTACAGTCAGTCCCAGGCTGCAGGGATTACACCATAAGTTAACAGACATCCTCCATGATAAAGGTGCAACAAACTGTCACCAGGAATCACCACAAACATTTCTGGGGTATCTGGGACACAACAAGGGGCAAGAAACAGGCTTTGTGCTGCCAAACATTTTTCCAGCAGAAAAAGGGCAATGTCGATTTGCAGCCTAAATGCTTTTCAGGGTAGTGATCATATTAGATCAGACGTGGGCAAAATATGGCCCACGAGCCAGATTTGCCCCACCAGCAAACTGGTGAGATCCGGCCCGTGGACGAGCACCTGCCAATTGATTGGACCCAGTCCGCAGCTGCCCCTGCAGCAGTCCACACAGGGCCAAGCCCTGCTCGCTCCTGCCTGGGGCAGATGCCCTGCCCACTGTCTCTGGCCCTGGCCAGCACACACATTTTCCCAGTGGGACTGCTCCTGGTGAGGCTGCAGCTGCCCTGGTGCTGCTTGGTTCCTTCTCCTGCCCCTGCTGCACTGTTCCAGGCAGGGGAGAAACTGCAGCCAGTCAGCTCCTGCCCCAGCATGCTACAGCCCCAGGCCACCTTCCACCCACTCCGCCTGCCTGACGCAATGACCTCCAGGTGGCTGAGTAGGTGGAAGGTGGCTGGGAGCTGAAGTCCCCCACGCTGGGGCAGCACCCACCCAGCCGCAGCCTTCCCTCCGCCTGGAGTGACACAGCAGGGGCCAGAGGAGGAGCCACTGGAAGCCAGGGCAGCCAAACAGTACCCAGGAGGCTGCAGCCACAGCAGGAAGCTGTGCACACTGGCTGGGAATGCGGTGTGGGCTGCCCTGGGTAAGGTTCAGCCCCATGAACAGCACCATGGAGGCAGCTGCAGGCCAGATGGGGGTGGTCAGACTGAACCTGGACCTGCACTGCCTGGGCAAACCCTGCTGCACAAGACCCCTGCCAGCCCCACTTCTTCCCATCACCCCCAGCCAGCTCCTGGGACCTTGCACACAGACAGCACCCCGCCACAGACAGCCCCCATGCCCCTCCATTATACAAGAATAAAACTTTATTTTGCACTACTGTGTAATTGCCTTTATATACACTACTCAAAAAAACAAAGCAAAACAAAAAACAATTTTTAAATAAAATCAAAATGTTACAATAGATTTTTAAATTTTTAATATATGACTTTATCTGTAATTTGTGAAAGTGATTTCACCTAAAAAATTGTGTGTGCGCAGCCCTTGACAGCTCACCAAAACTCATTCAGTGAGCCTCCAGCCAAAATAAACACCCACCCCTGTATTATATACAATCACCATGCAGGCAAATATGGAAGCTGTTACCTGATCTGATTAGTTCACAGGTAACCCTAGATAGTTTTATATTAAGAGGAAGAACATGGTATCAGGACACTACAGGGATCACTTTATTGTTTTTGAAAATTTGCCATTGGATTTATAGATCTAATACTCTCTGCTATAGCTATAAATAACTATACTGTTCTAAGCATGGATCACAAGGAACATGCCATAAAGATGAAAGAAAAACCGTGCAAGCTCTAAATACCGTCTAGCTGTCATGCTGCATCTTTCCTCAGTAGATTTTAAGGTGCTTCATAAAGGTGTTATATAATACTTTACAGATGGGGAAACTATGGCACAGAGCTAGGCAAGGTCTTGAGCCACATATAGGTGTTTATTTCTAGTGGTGGAAAATTTCGATACTAGAAATGGTTTTGAGAGAGGGAGCAGTACAGGTGTTCAGCCTTCAACTGCCCCCCTCTCCCCTGATCCTTGCACCTTCCTGAGATTGGAAAAATCATGAGATTGGAGTGATATCCATCAGGAGAAAGCATGGGGAGCAGCAGCTGCTCTAGTACTCCAATACCAAGGGGGACTAGAGCAATCAAAGCCCTTGCCCACTCCTCACACTGGGGACTCCAGTGCAGGGAATAGACAGGGACTTGTGCTCACTCACTCAGCTCCTAGTGTCCCAGAGCTGAAAGGACTGAGCAGCAGGGAAAAGCCCCCACCCTCACTGGGGACCTTGGTTTGAGGAACTGGGAGGGAGCAATGGGCAGCTGCCTCCCACACCTTCTCTATAATGGGGTGACTCCGGTTTCTGGAAGGCATAAGGGCCTTTCTGTGTCACTTGACTCCTACTGGTTTCCAGGTCTTACTGGTTTATCAGTGGTGCCTGCCATTATTTCAAACTGACAATAGTGTTTGACCCCAACAAAAAACAGAGCTTAAACCACTTACTCTTGAACACAGTATGAGCCTGTTTACCCAATAGGCTAATGATTAGACCTCCAGCTGAATAAGTGAGGTTGCTAGGGGAAGTGTACAGCTTTTTACTCTCCCAAGAGTGACTTCTACCAGGTAGGAGATGGGTTATATTTCTCCCCGCACAACCACTTTTGTTATGAGAGAAACTGCAAACACCTGTACACTCACGGTTTCTACCCGGAGAGCTATAATTCTCCCGGCAGATAAGTAATGCCTTACACAGCCTAGATCAAAGTTCCTCAGGAGGCTAGTGGCAAAGCTGGGAACTAAAACCCACCCCACTAGTGTTTGGTGTTTTTTTAACCAGTAAAACTGCCCTTTGTCACCAAAATGAGATCAACAAGCTGTGATTGCAAGGAACCAGTGTTTTGCAAGGTAGAAGTATCTCATTTCAGAACTATAGTCCCCTAGGATGTGATTAAACAAGCATTTTAAATTCCCTATTCATGCACCAGTACCAGGAGAGTTGTATCAGGGAGGAACACTAATATCACACTGCACTCTTTCAATCACTATACAGTGTAACCCCACTCACAATACATTTCAGCAACACAATGTTAAAACACCAGCAGTTTATGTACTAGGAGTGGAGTTACACTGATAGAAAATATTTTTGGGAAATGTTGGTAGACAAGGCAATGCCTAGTAATTAATTAAGCAGGTTTGGCAGATATTTTTACCTTGGAGTCGCAAGGCTTAATTCTATATATTTTATCAATTTTTCCTCACTGGTGAGATAATAGCAAAAGCCTTCCAGCTCCACACAACTCTAAAAATGAATGATTTCCAAGGGGTAAAAAATCCCTCTTCCTGTAGGATCAAATTCAAAGGGATAGAGTTATCTAAGGAACACATCCACATCCTTATTTTAATCATCATGGAATTTGTACTTCCCAATTCATTTACTTACCATAATGTCATCATTTTTTAAAGTAAATAGGGTCCACCCACAATTATATAAAAATCTGCAAATGGATAACTGCAGAATAAATGCATAACAACACAATTCATGAAGATGTATATATAGTTACATATTTGCATATACATTCAACTGAAAGAATTAGAGGGTTATTACCTGCTTGAAAGGGAGCATGGAAAGGGCATTACTACATCTTGTGACTCCTAATAACAAGAGGACCCCCCTGGGACCTGGAGCAGTTGACATAAATTAGTGCAGCACTCAGACTGTTCTAATGTACACCAGGAGACAAAGATGCCCTCAAGTTACCTTTGTCTCCCATCTCTTCTATTACACTGAACACAGCTGGGGTGGATCAGAGGAATCAAAAAGTTTTCAAATATAGAGACAAGCAAACAAAATCCCCTTGCACAAAGAAAGACCCAGAAAGGAAACAATTTTAAAATGGCAGTGTTTATTTATAAGATAGAAGGTTTATGCTTCTTGAAAAAAATGTTTCAACAGAAATCCAGCAATTAGTGCATTCGCTTGCCTGTCTTCAAAGTCAGGGAGAAAAGATGATTTGGGATTTGATGATGTGACTTCACAACATTCCAACAATCACTTGTTAAGAAAATGCCACGTATCAACTAAAACAAAGATACACATCAAAATGGTATTAATGCTGCTTTTCTAACAAGATGCAAAGACTTTAAAACGATGCACTGTACTTTTAGCTTCCTCCCTTCAGCTCCCTGCCCTCCCAAACACAAAACTCCACACAATGCATCAACTATCCATGTGAAATGTATGTGCACCCTTGCAATCGTATTTTATTTTGTGATACAACTCTGTTGAAAACTGCATGCAACGTTGCACAGCCTTGGGGTTGCAATCTCTTGCAAACTTCAAAGGCAGGCTCCGTGCAGTTGTCTCTCAGATGTCTGAGATGGAATAGTTTAGTAAATAAATGCTATTTATTGGCACACCATATAAGGACAGAAGGAATGAAACTTTCTTTCCCATGAAATTGATTCTGCAGATGTTACTTTGCAAGCAATTTGGAACTTAACTCATCATTTTCAGTTGCTTTCCCCAACCCCACAGTTATAAGAGGGCACATGCTTCTTTCAATGCAGTACTCTTGGCATTAGAAACCCCAGCTCCAAGCCTTTTTCTAAGGAAATTAAGCTTACTGAACAAACCAAAGATGGAGTCTTCTTCCTCCACTACATAAAGAATAGGAAAGGAGATCATTTTGATTTAAATGATAATGAAAAAGTAAATCTGCCTTTGGTCACTTTTTCTCAAGTCACTGTAGGGAATTATTTGGAAAAAACCCAAACCCACCAAAGTCTCATTTCTTAATCTAAAAGTACTATGTCACCTTTTATCGAGTATGAGAAAATTATTAATAAAACTACTCATTGGGACTTATATGCGCTCTACTACACTCTTTTTTCCCCTCAATGAGCAGTAGGATAGTCCATAAGATGTCCTTTAGACTTCTGTGAAATTACTCAATTTCTCTAATGCATTATTCAATAGGAGTAAGAACCTTAGGATCTCTCACTATTTAAGTGCTACCATTGTTCTCATGAAAAAAAAAGTTCTTAACTGATCCACATTGTCCTTTTGTTTAAAATGAAAGCCAAATTTCTGGCTAGACAAAGCCTTGGCTGGGATGATCTAGTTGGAGATGGTTCTGCTTTGAGCAGGGGGTTGGACTAGATGACTTCCTGAGGTCCCTTCCAACCCTCATTTTTTATGACTATGAAATTCACATAGCTGATTAGAGAAAAAGCAATCAATCTGTACCTTCTGTGGAAATAGGATCTCCATTCACAGGTGGTGGTGCCTACAAAAACAAAACACAAAATATTAGATTTTAATTAAGGCTTCATATATGGAGTGCCCAAATACAAAGCTATTTTATCTTACGAAAGTCATCCTTGTTAGCACAAAAGAAACATACCACTGGCACCAATGGTGCCATTCCACCCTCATACACTTTGATCTTTCTTGGTATCTATGCAAGTTTCTCTTGCTCTAAGAAAAGAAGGCACAGACATATCAGTAACAAAGAATACCTGCAGAGAATAAAGATGATTTCTTTTTCTTCAGTGAAAAGGATCTTTTGGTTTGCAAACACCCATACCAAAAATATCTTTATAATACTATTACTATGTTATTTAAGTTTCCTTGTAGCGGTACTGATCATTTATTTACAGCTTCCAATAAAACTATACAGTTAAGCTGACAAATTTTATATAATAAATTATATATTGCATGTTTGTTACCAATAACCATAATATAAGATTACAAATTCTACCAATTTAAATGAATAGATGTTAGGGGCTGGAAGGGACCTCTTGAGATCATCAGGTCCAGTCCCCCTGCTCTTGGGCAGGAAAGACTGCTGGGGTCAGATGACCACAAAAAGGTGAGTGATCAGATGTTTTCTGAAGGTATCCAGAGTAGGTGATTCTACCACCTTTGATGGGAGTCTATGGTCACTTGAGTTGTAAAGAAGCGTTTCCTTATGCCTAATCTAAAGTGGCCTTCTAGCAATTTTTTACCGTTAGTCCTAGTCTTTCCCTGGGGAGCCCTGGTGAACAGATGTCCTCCCAGTCCCTAATATGTGCCCTTTATATATTGATAGGCTGCCACCAAGTCCCCTCTGAGTCTTCTCTTCTCTGGGGTGAACAGACCCATGTCTCTCAGCTTTTCATCATATGGCTTGCTCTCCATACTTCTAACCATACACGTAGCCCTCCTTTGGACCTCTCAAGCCTCTCCACATCCTTCCTGAAGTGTGGAGCCCAGAACTAGGCGCAGTACTCCAACTGTGGCCCCCCCAAGACCAAGTAAAGCAGGAGGATGACATCCTTAGTCTTGTTTGAGATGCACTGGTAGGTGCATGCCAGTATTTTGTTTGCTTTGCCGGCTAAGGCATTGCATTGGTGGCTCATGTTCATTCTACAGTCTTATCAAGACCCCCAGGTCTCTTTCGGTTGTGGTGCTAGTAAGTGTAGCACTGCCGAGCCTGTCAGTATGTTGCAGGTTGTTTCTCCCCAGGTGGAGCACCTTATACTTCTTGGTGTTGAACATCATCAGGTTTTGATCTGTCCACCTTGCAAGCCTGTCCAGCCTGTATCCCCAGACTATCCTTCAGTGTGACCACAGTTCTCCATAATTTGGTGTCACCTGTGAACTTTGCTAGTCTGCTTTTAACACCCAAATCCAACTCATTAATGAATATGTTATAAAGCACCGCTCTGAGTACTGAACCCTGAGGGATGCCACTGGTCATCACGTGCCACGTTGACTCAGTTCCATCCAGTGTATTACTCTCTGAGTCCTGCCTCAGAGCCAGTTTCCTAGCCACTGTTTAACTTAAATTAAACAATACTTTATTTAACTTAAAGTTAAAAGAACATAATAGATACTGAAAAAAAATTAATACATGAAACAATATCCAATAGAAAAAAAGAATAAAAAATGGAGAAACTTTATTTGATTTGATCTGGGAGTATACAGTCGAACAGGAGTGGCTGAACTCCATAACTCTTCTAGGTGCAAACCAAAATCCTTACACAGCCAACAGACGCAAGCTTTTGACGTGCATGCCCAAAATCACTGTTCAGTTCATAGCACCTCAGGTTAAATAAAAAATTGTCATTGAATGACCTTGTAGAATACGGCAGGGTAGATTTGCACCTTCTCAGAATAAGCAATAAGAAAGAACTGAGGAAAGTCAAACATAGAAAATAAGACATGATTAACCAGTTAATCACATCTTAAGTAGTTACCCAGCCACATGTTAATGCAATTAATGGTGTGATAAAACAAGGACTAAGCCACAATGTTACTATATAAAACATGTGTAATAACTTTATGGCTGGCTCCTATCACATCATTAACTGAATGCATGTCCAGGCTGACTGGAGCTCCCAGCTTCAGGGGCCCACTGGAATCAAGGGCCCCAGTGGGCCCCCAAGGCTGGAAGTCATGATCAGCTGCTGCCCCCAGTTACAGAGCTGCACTGGAGCCCTTGAAAAAGAGCAGTGGCTGGGAGTAGATCTAAGCAGAAGCTTGCTACTTGCTGGTGCAGGGAGCCTGAAATCCTGATCATGCAGCCCAGGAGCCCTGCACGTGTGACATGGCAAGAAGTGTGATTTTGGAGACTGCAGATCAGCTCTCATTGTGCCTTTAACTGCACATCTGACAGGGGCCTAATAGATAGAAAAAGGATATTTTTATTGAAATAATATTTATCTTTCTTTAGGAGATCCATTTAAATTACCTGGGAGCTGTACACGGCCATAAACCATAGTTTGGTCACCCCTGGGCTCTGTTTCCACTGTGGCTGGGGCCTACCAATGTCATAAAGGCTAGGGAAA